ATAGAGTGTTGGCCTGGGGACTGAAGGGTCCCTGGTTTGATTCTTGTCAAGGGCACATGTCTAGGTTGCAGGCTTGATCCCAGTGAAGGGTGTGCAGGAGGCAGCCAGTCAATGATTCTCTCTCATCATTGATGCTTCTATCTCTCCCTCCCCCTTCCTCTCTGAAATCAATAAAAATAGATATTAAAAAAAAGAAAGAAAAAAGCGCCCTAACCGGTTTGGCTCAGTGGATAGAGCGTCTGCCTGCGGACTGAAATTCCCAGGTTCGATTCTGGTCAGGGGCATGTACCTTGGTTGCAGGCACATGCCCAGTAGAGGGTGTGCAGGAGGCAGCTGATCGATGTTTCTCTCTCATCGATGTTTCTTACTCTCTCTATCCCTCTCCCTTCCTCTCTGTAAAAGGTCAATAAAAAGGTCAATTTATATTTAAAAAAAAAGAAAGGAAAAAGCAATCAATATAATGTAAAATATTAACAAGCTAAAGAAAAAAATCATATGGTCATAGTAATCATTTAACAACATTCAACATCAAGTAATGATTTTTAAGACTCAGAAAAATAAGAAAAAAAGAGGAACTTCCTCAACTTAATAAAAAAGAATATCTACTAAAAATGTATAGCTAACATTATAGTTAATGGTAAAGGACTGAATGCTTCTCTCCTATCACCAGGAATGAAGCAAAGATATCTACACTGGCCACTTGTATTTAACACAGCATCAGAAGTTCTAGCCAGTATAATAAAGCAAGAAAAAACAGCAACAACCATACAACCATACAGTTTGGAAAGGTTGAGGTCAATGATCTAATAACTGCCCACATGGAAAAACCAAAGGATTCTTAAGAAAAAAGAAAAAATTAAACTAAAGTAATAAATGAGTACAGCAAGGCTACAGAATACAAGAATTTTTTAAAAAATCAATCACATTTCTATATCCTAGCAATGAACATGTGGAAGCCTAAATTTAAAAAATACTATTAATAATGGTTCAAAAAACTGATATACTTAGAAGTAAGTCTAAAAAACATATACAGGACTTGTGTGCTGACACCTATAAGACACAGATGAAAGAAATCAAAGAAGATCTAAATAATGAAACAGACATATAAGGGTGAGGTGAAGCAGATTTACAGTTGTGAGTACATTAGGGTTTATTCTTATCTTATTTATTAATTATTATATTACTTTCCATATGAACAACTGTACACATACTTTTGCCCTTCCCTGTAGTGTTCATGTGTTTGTGGGTTCATGAAGAAGATTCAACATAGTAAAGATGTCGATTCTCTATAAATTGATATATAGGTTTAACATAATCCCAGCATAATTTTTTGTAGGTATAGAAAAAATTATTCTAAAATTATGTAAAGACAAAGGAATTAGCTAAAAGAGTTTTGGAGGAAAAAAAAGTAATGTAGGAAAAATTTGTCTGCCTCATTTCAAGACATCATCTAATGTTATTAAAACTACTAGAGGCCCGGTGCACGAATTCATGCACGGGTCCCTCGGCCTGGCCAGTGATTGGGGCCAATCAGGAGGGCCGGCTGGCCAGGGGGAGGGACCATTGGCGGGGGGAGGGACTGTGGAAGATTGGCTGGCTGGCTGAGGGGAGGGACCACGGGATGTTGTCTGGCTGGCCCCCCGATTGGGGCCAATGGGATAACCGGCCAGCCGGGGGGAGGGACCTCAGGAGGTTGGCCAGCTGGCTGAGGGTCTGCGGGAGGTTGGTTGTGCAAGTGCACTGACCACCAGGAGGCAGCTCCTGCGTTGAGTGTCTGCCCCCTGGTGGTCAGTGCGCGTCATAGCGACCAGTTGTTTAGTCGACCGGTCGTTCAGTTGCTTAGGCTTTTATATATATACTAGAGGCCCGGTGCACAAAAATTTGTGCACTCGCAGGGGAGGTCCCTCAGCCCAGCCTGTGCCCTCTCGCAGTCTGGGACCCCTCGGGGGATGACCATCTGCTGGCTGAGGCCTGCTCCCTAGGGGATTGGGCCTAAGCTGGCAATCAGACATCCCTCTGGCAGCCCGGCAGCCATCGAGGGATGTCCATTTGCCAGCGGGGAGCAGACCTAAGCTGCAGTCGGACATCCTTAGCGCTGCTGAGGAGGCAGGAGAGGCTCCCACCACCACTGCTGTACTGGGAGCCATCAGCCTGACTTGTGGCTGAGCAGAGCTCCTCCATGTGGGAGCTCACTGACCACCAGAGGGCAGCTCCTGCATTGAGCGTCTACCCCCTGGTGGTCAGTGTGTGTCATAGTGACCAGTCATTCCCAGTCTTTCTGCTGTTAGGGTCAGTTTGCATATTACCCTTTTACTATATAGGATAGAGGCCTGGTGCACGGGTGGGGGCCCGCTGGTTTGCCCTGAATGGTGTCCCGGATCAGGGTGGGGGTCCCGCTTGGGTGTCTGGCCAGCCTGGTTGAGGGGCTGATGGCTGTTTTCAGGCTGCCCGCACCCCCTTCAGGGTGGGGGTCCCCACTGGGGTGCCTGGCCAGCCTGGTTGAGGGGCTGATGGCTGTTTTCAGGCTGCCTGCACCCCCTTCAAGGTGGGGGTCCCCAATGGGGTGCCTGGCCAGCCTGGATGAGGGGCTGATGGCTGTTTTCAGGCTGCCCGCACCCCCTCAGGGTGGGGGTCCCCACTGGGGTGCCTGGCCAGCCTGGATGAGGGGCTGAGGGCTGTTTTCAGGTGGGCCAAGCCTGCAACTGAAGCTCCCAGTCTCTCCTTTTTTTCTTTTTTTTTTTTTATTCTGGGATTTATTTACCTTCTGTAATTGAAACTTTGTTGCAGCTCCAGCTCCGAGGCCGGCTGGCTGAAAGCAGGTATCTGGGGTTTGTTTAGCTTCTATAATTGCAACATTGTTGCATCCAGAGCTCAGAGCTGGGCTGTGGCAGGCGGGAAACCTTGGCTTCCTCCATCACTGGAGCAAACAAACCTCATGTTTGCTTCAGCTGCCTGGCTGCCGGCCGCCATCTTGGTTGGCAGTTAATTTGCATATCACCCTGATTAGCCAATGGGAAGCGTAGCGGAGGTATGGTTAATTACCATGTTTGTCTATTATTAGATAGGATAGATGTGGCTTTAGGCTAATAGAATAGAGAACCCATAAAAGATTCATACAAATACGCCCAATTGGTATCGGATAGGTGCAAAAACAATTCAATGGAGGAAAGACAGTCTCCTCAACAAATGACCTACTGTAACTGGACATCTGTAGACAAAAATCCAAACCTTGTCCTAAGGTTCACACCTTATAAAAAAATTAATTCAAAATGAATCATGGACTTAAATGTAGATCAAAGAAGTATAAAAATTTTAGATAAAAAAAAATCTTTTGAGATCTAAGGTTAGACTTGGCACCAAAACCACAATCTATAAATGAAAACTTGCTAAAGTAGACTTCATCAAAATTAAAAACCCTATTAAGAGGCTTAAAAAGGCAAGCTACAGACTGGGAGAAAGATTCACAAATCACATATCCAACAAGGGACTAATACCTAGACTATTTAAGGCACTCTCAAAACTCAACAGTAAATAATCAGGCAGTTCCTCTAAAGGTTAAACATGGCGTTATCATATGACCTAGCAATTCCACTCCCAGGGAATGAAACATGTCTACTTATAGACCTGTATGTGAGTGTTCACAGCAGCATTATTCATAAAAGCCAAAGAGTTTAAAATATGAATGGTCACCAACTGATGAATGAATACATGAATCTATCACAATTTATTGATGAAAAAATAATGGTGATACATTCATACAATGGAATATTAATCAGTACTACAAGGGAGTGAAGTACTAAGTAAACGCAGCCAGTTACAAAACACCACCTGCTGAAATGTCCAGAACAGGCAAGTCTAGAGACAGAAGAACATTTGTGGTTGCTTAGGGCTGCGTAGACTGGGGGACGAGAGGAGTGACATGGGTGGGGTTTCTTTTTAGGTGATGAAAATACTCTGAAATGGATTGTGGTGACAGCTGTACAACTCTGTGAATATGCTAAAACCCACTAAATTATACATTTTAAAGAAATTTTATGGCATGCAAATTATATTGTAATGAAGCTGTTTTTAAAAGTTGTCTTTCTAACAATTCCAGATTAGCCAAGGAATTCATACCACTTCTGTATATTCCCTTGGTACCTTTTCTGTAGCGGAAGGAAACAAAACAAAACATCTAGCCAGCCGTATAGTTAATGGTAAAATACTGCATGCTTCTCTCCTATCGTCAGGAATGAAGCAAACATATCTACACTGGCCACTTGTATTTAACACAGCAGCTTGATCTAGTTCACCTGTCTGCTTTCAATTAGGTTCCTTTCAATGTGATAATTATCTGACTTCATATCTAATTCCTTCATAGACAGAGATGTTATACACTTTCGGGGCAATGCATTTCAAGTCTTTTACATTGATCCAGAGACAAATCCCTCTTTTGTCATCATTCTTCTGCCCACAGCCAAATTTTAAGCAAGCTAATATTAAAGATAAATAAATTTAAATTTTTAAATAGTCCTCACTTTCTATGTATTTTTCCTCTTTTAGCATGATAATGTCTAAATCAGCTAAAGCAACAACGTTGAAAGTGTCCACTAAAAATGTAATTTACTGCAGCTTTATTTTTTTGTTTTTCCCAGATCTTAGTGAAAAAGTCAATATATTTTGTATCCATGTATGTACACACACACATAAAGAAATAGAGCCCATATTAATGTTTGTTTTGGTACTTTGTGTCTCTTCCTAATTTTGGTGGATGTACAGGGGTGAGTAAAAGTAGTTTTACAGTTGTGAGTATGCAAAACAGAATTTATTCTTGTATTATTATTTATTAATTGTATTATTTTCCATGAAAACAACTGTAAACTTATTCTTGCTCAACCCTGTATTGTATTTTTTTAAAATGTATTTTGTTTGCATCCCGTAAGTTAAAAGGATTTAAGAGTCTTGATCTACCTTTCTTTTAGTTCTTAAAAACGGAACCTTGTGATTCCCATTTGTTCTAGCCGGGGTCTCAGCGGAAGCCATGCAGACCATCACCACTGCTCCCGACACCGCCTCGGGGCCCGAAGCCAAAGTCCAGGAGGACGAGCATGACCTTGCAGAAGATGACATCACAACTGGTAGGGAGACGTCTTTAACATAATCTGGATGAGCCTCGTCCAGTATTGGAAAGTGCTTGTCTGTCGTTTATAGAGGGACTAAGTATGTTGATGGAGAGGATGGAAACTGGTATTGATGGAGTGTTTGGCTTTACAAGACTCTTTAGTGTCCTTTTTGATCTTGAAGTGGAAAGAAGTGGAACCATTTATTTGGTCTGGGTTTGCTCATTGTTGCTCTAACAATGAACCTGCTAGCTGTGCATTTGATTTTCTGGGGACCTTCTAATTCAGAGGCGAGGCTCATTTCTAAAGCCTTGGAACATGTAGAGGAATACACCTATTATGTTATGAAAGGTTTTGCAATTATAGGGTAAATTGAAGCTATTGAAGTTGTAATAGCAATATATGCAATATGGACTGCATACGGAAACTTACAGATACTCTTTTTTATGTATACTACAGAAATAAATGCTGCTTTTAAAAGTTATTTACATTCTTATCTGTATTATTTATCACCTTACCAGGCATAAAGTAAAATTTAGAAAAGCCATATAGCACATATTTTCAGCCTGTCTTTTTATAGATTTAAACGGTTCCAATTACTGGATCTTCAAATGCATTCAACTCAATTTTTTTTTAATGCACAGAGGATAAAAAACAATCTAGTATAGATATTTTTATTGGTATTAAGAATGATAAACTTTTGTTTTTGGTGTGGATGGTTAAAATGTAAAATCTGACGACATATGTCTATAATTATCGTGAAGCAGCAAATATTAACTCAATAGTAATCAATAATTTGAGAAGAAGCATGCCCAGAAAATATCAGTGAACTTTCCAACAGAAATTAAAGGGAGAAAGGAACAAAGGGGAGGTTTATTTTGTTTTTCTTTTAAAGCTCTGAGTGGCAGTTTCCTTACTGTTAGCACCTGAATGCCTTTAAAATTGCTTCACTGGGAAGAAGGTGAGGGAGCCTAATGATCTCCCTTGAAAATTTACAAAGCCTGTATTACCTTAAAAACCCATGTTTGTGTCACTGCTGCAAATAAGGAGTTGACTAGGTTGGGGAGCATCTGGTTTTCAGTAAAAATGAGAGGATGGTGGTTCTTTTTGCTTCTTACTTTTTAATGTTACTAATTCATTGATATTTTAAAAATCATCTACCTTAAATATAAATTATTTTAGAAACTTTCAGCTCTTCTGAAAGTCATTTGCACTTCACAAGTATGAAATTTGTTTCAGTAGCTACTAAAGGGAATTGTTTCATTTGCAAGTTTTTAAAATCATTTTTTATTTTATTCCATTTTTATTGCTTTTTAAAATGCTGTTAGAAATGTTTTGTTATATATTAATTCCTATAAATTTTAAAGGCTTTCTTCTATAAAAAAGTAGTGGTTTAATTCACAGGAAAAAAGAAGAGGTTACCTTTGCAATAGTAGAATAATTCAGTTTGCATTCTGAATAAAAGGTAAATTTTTGAGCACTCAAACAATACTAAATCAATACATTGAAATTTTGAATTATGCACTACCAAAGTCATAAGATTGCATTATAACACGTGACTGTTTTTGTCTGATTGCTGAAACATATCAAGAAGCTTAAAAATGAAAATCTAGTGTTGGAGAGTAAATTAATGCTACACGAACTGTCTTTGAACCTGTCTGAAGTTCAGTTAAACATGGGTGATGAATGGCTTCTATCAGTTGATTTATTCATTTCATGCCATGGGTACTAGAACAAGAATGTTCAAAATCCAGAGAATTTAAATAACTGAAAAAGGGTTCCCTTACCATGTTGTCAAAGCAACTAGTATGCTGCAGTCTGCAGATCGTGCAGGTTAGATTGTGTGACTTGATTAAGATGTGGTATAGATTTTTATGAAGGTTTAGAAGAAAACCATATTTCTTTTTATTGACTAGAGTCCTATATAAATTGCATTATGAAAAATATGGTAGATGCATCAAGAGAAACCTGTTCTAAGCATAATAATCTTATTTGGGGATAACCAGCATTGTAGAGCACAAATACAAAAGGGAAAACTGGTCAGCTTAGTCATTCACGTTGAAAAATCTGATTGCTTTTTCAGTTATTTAAAAGAAATTGCTCTAATAATATCGTCTCATGAAATAAATAGAAATTATATCATGACAGAGATCTTTGCCTGTATTTTGAATGGATTCTTATTTGGAGACTACAGTTAAGCTAGTATGTATTATTGTATTAATTATATATTTGTAGTAATCTGGAACTTAATTTTTCAATTAACTTAATTAAACAACTGACCAATATAGCAATTAAAATACGAAGTATACCTAGTGCTTTTGCTATAGGAAGAATAGTCATTTTTGAAATTTTTCTTTTGGATGAGGAATTGAAGGAAGTATGAATGTGGTCTTGTGACACTGGGATCTGAGTCTAGCAGTCTTTGTGTTGCTTATAAAAATAAAGATCCATGGATAAAACTGTGTAAGTGTTAGCTTAGTCAATTGGAACTAATTAAATTTATTTGAAATGAAGAATCTTAACTGGAAGAGGACAGCTGGAAAAACTGGGAAGAAAAAATTGAGTCTTGATTGAGACAATTTAAACCTTCTCGCTGTCATTTAAAGAATATGCTGCAGCTCCTTTCTATATCTTTTTTTAAAGCTAATATCTATTGATCGGCTCTACAAAGTAATGCCACAGTGCGCCTCGGTCAACACATACACTCGGTTTTTCTTAGCATTCTTTCTGAGGATCATCAAGTTCCTTCCTTTAACCACATGTCTTAATAACACATCAAAGCTATACTAGTTATTTTTGCAGATTAATATTGTTTTTAATGTAGAAAGATATTAAAACTTCTTCCATTCTTTATATTGTATAGTATGCATGGTAATGTACTTTCTTTTTCAATGAAATTGCTTCAGGTTTTGCACTACTTTATGTAAAATCAGTTTTAACAATAATAGTATTTTCTTTAAAGTTAAATGAATGGCATTAAGATTGTTTCTAGATTATTTCAGAGTCACAAGACTATTACTCTAAACTCATGGGGTTTTTTTCATATAAATACTTTTATTTTTAGAATTGTAATTTAAATGTTTCTATAGAATAACCTATCATCAATATTTGTAAATAATATGTTCTTATTTTCACTACAATATTAATAGGTTATAATTATATTAATGGGATAAATCTCACTAAAAACTGACTTACATAGAAAAAAATTTAGATAAATCATAATCTATCTTTTTAAGGTAGACCTTTTAGGTAACTTTGTTAATTATCCTTATGTATTTTTCATCATTGTAAAGGATGGCATTCTGTGTAAGGATGAAGCTGTACATCACTAAATGTTGCATTTTAAAACAACCTCCCCCTAAGTGCAGGTTAAAAGAAGGGTTTCGCCAAAACCGGTTTGGCTCAGTGGATAGAGCGTCGGCCTGCGGACTGAAGGGTCCCGGGTTCGATTCTGGTCAAGGGCATGTACCTTGGTTGCGGGCACATCCCTAGTGGGGGATGTGCAGGAGGCAGCTGATCAATGTTTCTCTCTCATCAATGTTTCTGACTCTCTATCTCTCTCCCTTCCTCTCTGTAAAAAATCAATAAAATATATTTAAAAAAAAAAAAAGAAGGGTTTCATTCACAAACCTGCGTGGATCCATTTAAGAAAGTCACTATATTTTTCTGAGGGTCATACTGCAGTGTCTTGCCTCTTGTTCAATGTTGCAAGGGCCCAAACTGACCATATAACAGTGATAAAGGGTCAGGAGTCACTGACATTGTCAAAGAGAGACAACTTGATAGCAAATGACCAGCACAGTTGATAGATTCAACTGTTTACAACAAAAGCAGATATGGATCTAGATATGGGTCTGTTGTATTTTTTGTAAAATTTAAATTTACAATTTTAAAAGGTGAGAAGTGCTATGGATAAAAGAAAAAAATAGGAAAGGTTAAGAGAAATGGAAAGTTACATCCATTGATAATTTACAATATCCAAGCACTTTACACTCGACTCTGACAGCATTTCTCTAAAGTGGATACCTGTATTTTCCCAGCTATGTCGGTGAGGAAACCAGCCCGGAGAGGTCACTTTTATAAGGTCCCATACTTAACAAGTGATAGATCTGGGACTTCAAATGAGTCCTGCCTGATTCCAAAGCTTATGTGTGGTCTTACGCACCACCTCACCCTGCCTCACATTCTTAAACTCCTTAAACTTTGGCAGATTTTCATTTTCTTTTGAAATGTAAGGTGATGACAGAGTCTCCCTTTATTGTTATGACATCAGGCATAAGCCTGGAATTTGCTGGATATCTTATCTTAATATTTAAAATGCAAACTTGTTATTGAAATGTAGACCACAGATTATCTTCTTTAGAGACAAAAAAATCTCACATATTTATTTGTTCCTTAAATTTTTAGCCATTATTTCAGACTACTGTGATATAAAACTGTAATATAAGTAGTGTTTATTACTAAACAGTTATTTTATTGCATACATATAAAGTGAAATATTTATTGTTCTGTCTAGCTTTTGAAGTCATCAGTATAAAACAGACATCTTAACATATATTCATAACTAAAAGTCAACATCTTTAGTATGTTAAGATTGAGCTGACAAGGACATCGAGTCTGAGACTGAGTATTGATTTGTACATTTTACCATTTACTAAAAGCTTTATTCATAAAATGTTTATACATTCGTTTTGGCTGAAAGATAGGAAATTCATTCTGTTAAAGTACATATAAGTTTCAAAGAGCAAAATTTATGACATTATGTATTCAGAAATCAGAAGTACTTTCTAAGCAGAGAGCCAGGGGCCTTATAATTAGTAAACTAGAGCAAAACTTCTACACTGCACCCTTTCCCTTTCTCACTCTTTAATTTATAATTAACAGTCTAAAATTTAATCTAAATTACTCACAGTTAGATCTATGTGAGTTTTGAATTGTGATCACTCCCCTTACTTTTCCCTTCAGAATATTAGCTACTACAAAATATAAATTTACTATATAAAGGTTTTTGGATAATT